TTCAGGACTATTCTGACAAAAACACAAAACACATTTCAGCCTTCTTAAATAAAGAAGGTATCTGTCAAAGATCAAGGAACTGCCGCTGGACTTCTGTTGCCTGGTCATCCATCTTGGCTGGGGTAGAAATTGCTGCCCTTTGGTTTCTAATTAGTGTGGATTGTGTTCTTAATAGCTGGTGGAGGGATTGGGAACTTGGGATAGGCTTCCTTTTATTGTGTGAAATCCAAAAGGGCTGTAACCTGTTACCAGAGTAAAAGCTCCCCATCAATTGTACTGTGCTGGCTCTCTTCCCAGCTCCTTACAACACTTCATCAGCTGTTAAGCACAAAGATGCCAAATTCTTCATGTTAAAAGTGACTGGTTTAAGTATTCTGAAATGCTGTTCCATAAAAAAGATTTCCTACTGTTTGACTTCCTCTGCTAATTTTCATCTTTATTGCTTAGTTTGCATATTTGGAGTTGTACAGTCTGTTAAGAGGAAGAAACCGTTGCAAAATCGCTTGAAATACCCTTAACAAATGACTGTAGGCTAGGACTTTGCTTTGTGAACTCTTAACATTTTGACATTGTTTATTCTGAACATCTCTATTGCTTCTGGAGATGGGTCCTGGGTTTAATTATAAGAATGGGTCAGTCATGAAGTAACTGCACTGTCAGCAAATAAAGTGTTGTGCATCACTCCAGTTACTCCTTTTCACATTTTCTCTTTTGGCTTTTCTTTATGGAAATTGTTTCAAAAAACAGGACGCCCAGTTCACCACCCAGTGACAGACTTGACTCAGGTTATTGCCAAAGATGATAATGTGCATTATAAAGAGCTAGACCATGAATTTAAATAACAAAGATCCTTTCAAGATGCTAGATGGTAGCAAAATTGCTTGTAGATTATAGTGTAAAAAACAGTGTAATGAATAAGAAATACATACTCATCCCATTACCCCGTCAGAAAATCCCTGTTTGTTTAGGAAAAAGAGGTTGTTCTTCAGAAGCAGCTAATTTTGGGATGCCCTTAGGCTTTATAAGTGATCTAGTGCTGTTTGTTATCCTGATGTCTTTGTGGTGGTGGCAGGTTTAGTCAGAGTGGTGGCTCTGAGCCCCTTTCTGGGTGTTGCCCATTCTCTTGCCGTGCTCTGACAGTTCACAGGGAATCATTGCCATGGCTCACAAAATGTTTCTTCCCAGTGACTTACACCCACACCACCGAAGTCACGGCATGACCACCTTGATACTGACTTCAGGGTGAATTAGATTTTATGTGCCAAGTGTGTTGGAAGCTCCCGTACACCCTCATCAATGCAACCACTTGCATCTCTCCTGTGTTTTGTTTTCATGGGTATTGAGAAGCACTTCCTAAACCAGCTGTTCCATCTGCGCCACCAGCGAGGGGCTCTGTTCTCACATCAGACTGCCTCCTTTTACAGCTCACTAAAAATAGCCATTTCTTTAAAGCCTGAGGACGTGGTGATTCATGTGATAGCGAAGAGGAAGAAGGGTTATTTCTTTTGCTGCAGGCAAGGAGGAAAGCCACCTTGCTGTCCTGGCACTGGCTCATGATTGCTCCCGCTTGGGCTTCATAGCCAAGTGGCTCTGGCATCCCTTCCTTTGGTGCAGCAGCCCGGCAGCTATTTGGGATGCAGGTGCCATGTCCTAGTGCCTGCAGCCTCTTGGCTCTGCAGGGAGGGTGTGTGGTCAGTGCCACAGCTAAATATAAACCCCTGAGATGGCAAGTGGCAGCTTTTGGCTCTCTGGGGTTTAGGCAGAGCTCGCCCAAGGATGAAGGTGTTCCTTGCAGATTATAGGCATGCGAATGGGAAATGGTTCTACTTTGTCACCTTTAACATTCCTGCAAAAGCTCCCAACGCCATTGCAATTGCAGCTTAAGGACAGAAAGCAAGTCACTGATGAAGTGTGCTCGGAGCTGATTCTTCATGGATTCCTGCAGCAGCTCTTCTGTGGTCTGCAAAGGTGTCATTCTGCTGTCCGTCACTGCAGTGTGCTACTGCAAAACCTGCTTCTAGGCTCTTGCTTGCCCTTCTCCCAGTAACCTGCTCGGTTTTCTCTGCTTATCTTTGAAGCTCTTCATCATCTTTTCCTTCGAAAGAAGCACCCCCCAAAAAAGCACTAGTCTTAATGTAAATGGAATTGGCTGCAAACCTTTTAAGGTAACTTGCTTATACTCCAGCAGTGTGTTTCTGGCGGAAAGTGAAGCAGAAGATGGCTGATAATCAGCATTTTAGTTGCTGAGCAACCTGTTTCTTGCTTCAGCCACTTAGCATAAGATCCAATTTCAAATAAGATATTTGGGACCCTGGCTGACTTGGTGGTAGTTAGTGTGACCTGCAAAGACTCGTTGGACAGGAAAACAAACCTGCTTTCTTGGGAACGAAGCAGCTTCGCAAGAATTTTCTCCACAAAGGACTGTATATCTGCAACGTTGCTTTCTAATTCCCATACGTAGTTTTTCATATTTGGGTTCTTAGGTAGGCCTTAAATCACTGCTTTAGATAAAGCATGCCCAGAAACAGTGGTTCTTATCTACAGCTCAACAAAGCCAATGTTATCATTCTTAGTGCTTGCAAACTTCCAAAACTTTTTATTAATAGCATCCTGAGAACTTGTGCAACCAGATGACATTTGATCTTTTTCTTCTGACAAGCTTGTTTTAACCAGTTTTAATAAAATAAAATCTTTGGCGTGAAGGCAAAATAATCTTACGTGTTGATGGAAGGGAAGAGTATACATTTCTAATGCAGAATAAAACAGCTCCCTGGAAGCATGCTGTGATTAGACTCACCAACTTGAATTACCATGTTTAGGACTTTGGGTGTTTTATTCTTGTTTTGGTGCTTTGCCTGTTTTTTCCAGGCTTGTGTTTTTTAGAACTGCCACCACCCAAAAGGAGCTGGGTTTTGTCATTTTTGTAGTTTATTTAACACACCCCATTTTTCATGTCTGACTGGGCTTTCTGTCATCGTTCACAGGAATTGGAGGTACTTGCCTATGTTCATCCACGCAAGTACCATTTCCTCCTTTCCTTCTCAGCAGTAGCTTATCTGCAGGGTCAATGGCAGTCACATTGAATGGGGAAACAGCAGACTGGAGCCCAGCTCCTGCTAGAAGTGTATGCACTTTTTTGCCCTGATCTGGGTTTGAGGTTTTCTTTGCAGAACCTGAAGCAGCAGGGTATAGGTCAGAGAGCAAGATGGGGAAGGCAGTGGGTCAGCTCTGATGTGTATGGAATGAAGATTTTAAACTTCATAAAACACATAAAATACAACCTTAATAGTAATCTTGGAAAGCATTTCTTGTTTTTAATGTTGGCAGGAATGACTGGCTGCTGTCAGGATTGTGTATTTCAAGCTAGAAGATGTCTTCCTCTGCCTTGTGTAGGTGTCTGATGAAGGGCTTACATGTACAGACACCTGCTCTCTCTACACCCTGTCTTCTTGCCTCAGACTGAGTACCTTTGAAATATAAGAAGTATTTCACGGGATTCTGGGGGCTGTGACAGCAGGCAGCAATTGCAGTAAGTTATCTTCTGGCTGCTGGGCTTCATACAGTAGATCCAGCTTATTTCTGCATCTTTTAGCAGTTAATTATTACAAAGTCACAAATGTAATTGTCCTGCAAGAGTTTGCTTTGGAACATCTTTCCTGAATAATCACTGCTGATTTTTTTGCATGTTTTTTCATAATCTAATTTAGAAAGGACAGGATGTTTTTAAAGATGAGGACAATAGTTACGCAGCTCCAATGGCTTCATTTTCCTGTGTGGAAATTGGTGGCATGCTCCTTCTGGGACCAGCGCTGCTGTTCGTGCACATGGCAGTTAAGCTTAAGCCCCCCTCATAGAGGTATTTAAAGGCCATTTGTTATGGAAAACCTTGGACTTTTGCATTAGGGGCGTGAAATATTTAGTATGCAAGTCCGATACTGCTGTTGATGGATAACTTATTAAGAGTCACCAGTGTTGCAGTGCAATTAGGGACTTGAGAAAGTGTGCAGCCATAGTTCCCAGGTGGGTGGAATATAACCGTAAAGAGGAAAAGAAGACAAGAAGCAGCTGCTTTAAATTAGTGCAAGGCAAATTTAGGTAGGACATTAGGAAAACTTTCTAACAATCCAAGGAGTTAGTCACTGAAATAAATGACCAAGGGAGACAGAAGAAACTCTTTAAGAGGAGGTTGGACCAACATTGGTTGGGAATGATGTGGAGACTGCTGGTTCTGCCCCTGGTCAACTAGCGGAGCAGGCAGCCTCCCCAGGCCCCCTCCACCTCTCCATCACACTATGAAAGCCTCCACAGTTTATCTTAGTTCAGTTTTTTACCACTATTAGATCAAAGAAGCCCTCTGGCCCTTGCTACGCTGTCAGCCTGTTCTGTACTAAATATGTCATTCTCACAGGGCCTTTCATGACTTCTAGCTGGGGTTTGCACACCAAGGCTTGTGCTGGGGGGGGGGTCTGGTCTCAGCAGCTAAACAAGGCAGCTGTTTGAGCAGGCTCCTAGGAGGAGTCTTCAGCTGGGTCTTGGGGTTCGTGTGGACTGTGATTTTCATGCCAATATCTGGCATGCAAGGTGCTTACACTCCTCAACACTGAGGATCTGATTAGATGCTGGTATAACTTCCTGAGTGTAGGTTTTTTCCCCTTCCACTTTCCAAACTTCCATTCAATCCAGTAAATGACTACTTTTAATATTGTGCCGAATGTTTTGTTGCTGCTGTTCATGTATCTTCAAGCTGTCTGTAATCAGTCAGAATCAGATTTCTGTTTTTTTCTGCCTTACCCTTACCAAAACGGGTGCACAGAGTACAGAGGTTGCAAAACGGATCTAACCAACATTGTGTGGTGGCTTCACCTCCTTGGCAGGCTGTAAAACACCCTGGTGGCCTGGGAAAGAGAACCGAATCGAGGCCTTGAAGATCGTATCACATGAGATAAAGCAAGTTGGTATGTTCTTCCTGACACTGACCCAATTATGTGGCTGTTTTGCAGGAAAAAAGAGTACAAGTCTCCCCACCGCTGACAAGAGGACCAAGTGCCTTTATACCAGAGAACGAAGTAAGTTTGTGGTTTAGCTGGGCTGAGCAGGTGGCAACTTTTCAAATGGGAATACTGAAGGGCAGTTTTATGATCCTGCTTGTCCATGGTATTTGGATGAGCTCCTCTGCAAGCAAAAGTGATGGTTTCTCTGGAGCAGGCTCCAGTGGGTAAGAACCACCCTGTCCTTCCACACAAGTAGTGCCGTTTGACATCGTTTCAGTTGCCAGCACTCCTGGAATAGAGAGTGGCTCTGCTATTCTCCTGGGGGATGGTCACTTCTCTTAATGCCAGGTGTAAGGGGAGGCCTATCCAGTATGCAGCAATATGATTATATAGCTCTCAGAGCTGTGTCTGACCTTCGGTTTAAGAGAACCTGAAAATATGGCTTAACTCAGACCAAAACTGTGGTTCTTGAGAGGATTTATGGTTGGAAGGTATGGTTTGACTTCAAACGCAAGACTTCTGCCCACGATTTAATGTTCAGCTTAAGCCTTGGTTTGTAGCTTGATGCACTAAGTAGAAACTTTGCTGTGGTACTGTTCTCTGTGATCTTGATCTTCACAGAATCTTAATTACTGATCAGTTAATTATTTGGGATGGCCGGCCATAAACCTAGGACCTTTTGTTTTGTTTTGAGCAGTTTCTAAAAGCAGATAATTCACATGCTAGAAGGGCCAAAAAGACATTTTGAACGATGAGATAGCTGCTGTTCTCTGAGTCTTTCTCCATTTATACACTGTCAAGTTTTGAGTTTAAAGAAAAACAGAGTTGAAAGGCTGGCAAAAAGAAAACATACAGAAGCAAAAAACAAAAGATGTCAGAAAGAGTCTTGGGAAGAGGGGAGCAGAATGAGTTCCAGCCAGCCAAATTGTGAAGGGGGCTTCTCTCTTGTATGAAATATGAGATGAAATGGAGAAGTCAAATTTTATAATAATTTGTTTCAAGAAGTCAGTAATTTTACAGAAAGTAGAAAAATAATTGTAGCTAAAATGATAATGTATTTTGAGAGAATTGTTAATGGATTTATTTCGTGGCTGATGCACGTGGTGAAGGCACTAGTCAAGGGTGCAGGAGGAATCACTGAGTAGCTCTCAGAAAGGAGTAACCACAGTGGTTACCCAGTACAAGGAGGGAACCTTCACTTGTATGGATAAAAATAGGTATTCATTATCACAAACAAATGTGAAATACTGTTTGTTAAGCAAAGAGCTACCTTTTTCCCCCATTCATTGGCATGAAGTAATACAGTGGAAAGGAAGGATGTAGTTAAGAGATTAGTGACACACTGAATATCTCACAAATCTTTATAATAACGCTGCTCATGTCAAAGCCTGCTTTATTGTCATAATGGAAAGAATATGGACAGAGCAATAACAATCTAATTGTAAAGGTTCCTGTTAAAGTACCATAAAGCTTTACAAGCAGAATAAAAAAACGTGCTTGTAGATCCATGGATGGTAATAAATCCGGAGGAAGTATATACACAGTATGAAGAGGACAGTAATATAGGTGGAGATAAATCCCAGAAGCAATAATGCGGCATATTGCTGTACCTAACATAGCAACAGTGCAGTCCTAGAGGATTATATTCCGATTTTGTCAGCAAAATTTCTTCTTCATAACTGGTACTGTTACAAGGAAGACTCCTGGCAAGCTGAAGAAGATTAGAAACCTTACCAGGGACACTAAAACTATGTTTTCCCCAAGAAACTACTAAATGAGACAATGATCTCTTAAATACGTGGGAGATACACTTGCTAAAGAAGAAGGAGGATTCCTTGGAGTGGAGCAAGGGATGTACAATAGTGAGATAAAATGATCTCTCATGTGTGAATAGATTTCTAGTGGCAAAAAAATTCTTAAGGAAAACTGAGGAGGAATCATTTTGGATACAGAACAAAGAAAAGCTGCCATAGTGAAGAGCTAAATGATGGAGCTGCCTAAGTGCATAGCTGCTTCTTCCCTTTCTTTATAGAATCACAAAATCCTTAGGGTTGGAAAGGACCTTAAGATCATCTAGTTCCAACCCCCCTGCCATGGGCAGGGACCCCTCACACTAAACCACAGCTTTCTGGGCCCACAGATTAAACCAGGCAGCTAAAGTGGTGAGAAATGAAGAAGGTGGCATGTTTCTCATGTTTCTTTGTATGTAACTTCTATATAAGATTTAATGGGAAAATATTTGAGACATGGTCCATTCATCAGCCCATCATAAAGAAGGAAAATATATTACAAATAGAATATTTCAGCAAAAGCATTTTGTCTTCTCGGCTTTAGGCACTTTGTTTCTTGTCGTGGTTTAAACCCAGTCAGGTAACTTGTTCACTCACTTCCCCCCCTTTTCTTGCCCTCCCCCTGCTCCCGGAAGGACGGAGAGGAGAATCGAAAAGAATGCAACTCCCACGGGTTGAGATAAGAACAGTTTAGTAACTAAGGTATAACACAAATCACTACTGCTACCACCAATAATAATAATGATAAAGGAAATAACAAGGGAAGAGAATACATCATCTCACCACCAGCCGACCGATAACTCGCCCCCCCCAGCCCGACCAAGCTCTGACCGATACCTCCTCCAACCCTGCCGTCTCCCAGCCCTTCCGGCTAACTCCCAGTTACCTCCTGGGCATGACGTGCTGTGGTATGGAATACCTCTTTGGTCAGTTTGGGTCAGGTGTCCTGTCTCTGCTTCCTCCTGGCTTCCCCTCCCCCCTGGCAGAGCATGAGGCTCACAAAGTCCTTGGCCAAACCAAAACATTCTTGTTATCAGCTCTGTTCCCGAGCTGAAAGTCAAAACACTGCACTGCACCAGCTACCAAGAAGGGGAAAAATGACTGCTACTGCTGAACCCACGACATTTCTTCATGTGCAGGAAACCAGCTAAAATGTCTCATCTCATGATGTGTGCAATAGTAAGCTGGTTAGTTTAATACTGTGCTGTTTCAGGATAAATACTGGGTATTCTCTTCTTGTGCTTGTAACTTCAGTGGTGAACATGTTGAGAATGGCTGCTCTTGGTGATAAACACTGAGTAATAGCACTAATACTGTGTCAGGGCTTGCAGTGAAAGAGCTACTTACTCTTTTTGCTGTTTCATTTCATCTCGTGCCCAAGGTTTGGATTGGTTGGAATAATTAAAGAACAGCTTTTGTTTAAAGAAAGCATTAAATTCCTATTCTAAATAATACTTGAATGTTATGGACAAATTAGCATTTGATCTCCTCTTCAATTATACAGGCGCAGAAGGGGTAGATTGCCAGGGCTGTTTCTGTAATTTGGTTACATAGCCCAGTTCCTCTCCATTAATTTTGAAATTGGTTTTAGGGCTGAATGCTGGGGTGGTGTGTGTCTGTACAGCCTGACTTCCATAAAGGCTTGACTTTCCATTAGCTCTTGCTTACTTCCAGATCTCTGTACAGGTTTGACATTAAGCATCTGCAAGTTTAGCTGTTTTGGAAAGATCTAAAGAAAATGGCTTTTGAGTTTTGTAGAAACATATTAAAATAACAGAGGTACAGTGTAGAGTGTTGTTCAGTTCTTAGTATACAAGTAGCATCTCTAGGTGCATATTTGCACGTGTGCAAGCATGTATATTTACAAGCATATGTCCGGATCATCCAGCATTGCCTTTAAGTTGGTACACAAGTACACATTTCATAGTGCAATATGCTACTCCGCAGGTCTAAAACTAGAGAAAATCTCTTTCTCTGTTAAGTTCTTCCCTCTTGTTTTCAAGGTTATGCAAGCAAATGGTTTGGATGAACGTACTAATCTTCTTGTGGAAGAATATTCTACATCTGGTCGCCTGGACAACATCACACAGGTCATGAGCATCCATACTCAGTACCTGGAGTCTTTCCTGCGCAGCCAGTTCTACATGCTGCGCATGGATGGGCCCCTTCCTTTGCCCTATAGGCACTACATTGCTATAATGGTATGTACCAAATGTCTATATATTTTCTTCTGTGACCTTGAATTGTGTATTTAAAAGAGAAGAAGAAAGGAAGACTTTAGAAAGGAGAGACTAGGGTGATATTTTGACAAGGGGCAAATTTGCGTAGTTGATTTTCATCAGAATAAAGCGTGCCCAGCCAGAAGGTTTTCAATGAGAAGGGAGAATTGGCACTGTACGTTTCCCTGTTTCCCACAGTGATAGACTTCTCACATGCCCACTAGAGTGAGGTTTTACAGAGTGCAGTAAAAACTGTGTAACCTTATTTCTGGATATTTAACCCTCAGTGCGCAGCAGTAGGTTGAGATGCAGTGGATTTAAGTCACAACAAATGCGAGATGGACACTAGGAAAACAACATTTACCATGAAATGGTAAATGGGGGCCAAGAGAGGTTGTGTGACTTCCAAGGAGGGAGATGTTGTCTGGATAAGGCTCCAAGCAACTTGATCTAAGTCAGCCCTCCTGTGAGCAGGGGCGTGGACCAGATCTCCTCTAGAGTGCTCTTCCAACCTAAATTAGGTTCTGCAATTCAGAGTAATGTAATGAATCGTATCTTTATTGGAGAATCCTCCATATGTATAGAAATGAATATAAAATATGGCACTTTGGAATGAAATTGTTGGGGGTTTGTGTGTCTTCCACCTGCAGCGAAATCAGATTACACACCAATGTGCTGCACTTTTCCCTCTGTTTTAACTGTTCCAGGCTGCTGCCAGACATCAGTGTTCCTACCTAATAAATATGCACGTGGATGAGTTTCTGAAGACTGGTGGGATTGCAGAGTGGTTGAACGGTTTGGAATACATTCCCCAAAGACTGAAAAACCTGAATGAAATAAACAAGCTCCTTGCACACCGACCCTGGCTGATCACAAAAGAGCACATTCAGGTACCTGCTCAATCCTGCCCTGTAACAGGGGTAAATGTCCGGTAATAAGAGCTGCTCAGAACTATGCAAGTGTCTGGTTAGGCTTCATTACCCTGAGTTAAAGCATTCAGGGAAGTACTAGAGCATCGAATAAGCCAATACATTCTCTGTGACAAAGCCAACAGGGTTTACTGTTTAGGAATAGCACTGGCTAAAATAACCCCAAAAGAAAAGAGGTGATATATGAGGTGTCTCCTTTTTCAACCAGTGCGAGTTTGTGTGAAAGAGGACTATGGTATTCTTGGAAGAAAGGAATTGATCCCTTTTTAGAAGTGTTTTCTAGAAAAGCTGGGGTCCGGAAGAAATCTTACATTTACACTTTTTTTATTCTCATTTCAGAAACTTGTCAAGACTGGGGAAAATAATTGGTCTCTTCCTGAACTGGTGCATGCTGTTGTCCTGTTGGCACATTATCATGCCTTGGCAAGTTTTGTATTTGGTAGTGGCATTAATCCAGAGAGAGATCCGGATACATCTAATGGAGTCAGACTTATAGCAGTCAACAACTTCTGTGTCTGTGATCTTGCCAATGACAACAACATAGAAAATGCATCCCTCACAAGTAGCAACTTTGGGGTTAGTGTTGCAAGAAGATTCTTTTGCTTGACTCTGTTTTGCGTTAGAAAACTTTCTTCCATTCTTTCCTGTTTGAATTTCTGGGTAGTTTGAAAGTTTTTGTCTACTTTACTGGAATGCTTGAGTCTGGTAACTCTTTACATTCACTCCAGCAGTTTTCAGTGTCACCTATTGAAAACCACATTGTAATGGTGGATGGTAGTCAGAGCAAGGGGATTTCGATAGTTAATCTCACAACCCATTGGGCAAGACTAAAACTTGTTTTCAGATAGCGTGTCACTGACTGAAGCATTGTATCATCCATGTTCCAAAAGTAGAATGAAAAAAGAAATACAGAAAAAAAAAGAAAAAAGCCCCAACAGAAATAATAATAATAATCATCTTAATAATTATTACAATAATAATAATGACAATGATAATTTTTTACTTCGAGGCCTGCAATCACAAAACAGGTCAAGTCTGAACACTTCTATGTAGGAAATGTCTGAAATAAAATGACTTAATTCTTCCTGCTGGTGTTCCAGTCTTGAATCAACCAATAGAGAACTTTGATTGCTACCTAATTAACTTAAATGTGGGACTTTTTTCCTGAAAGTAGCTCTATAATGCTTTGAAGACATGTCCTTGAGTTAATGCCAGCTGAGGAACTCACCTCATTGCCTTTGATGGAAGATCGAATTATGAGCAGAGTCACAGTACAGTGACACAGACAGTACAATGTGCACATGTGGTTACTTGGTTCACTTGCTGTATCTTACATTTCTGGGCTGTAAGACATGCTAGTTCAAATCACAGGGATGTCTTATTCCCCATTTGTAGTGGACAAGGGGCTGCTGCTGACTATGCTGCTTGCTGAGCAGTGAGTAGCATACTAGGAAACAGTTATAGCTATGGGCAGAAAAACAGAATCAAAAGGAAAAGATGGAAAAGGAAACCCAAACAAGTTATCCTATGAAAAATCTGAATGATCACAGAACCCAAAACCATCTACGTGATGGAATATGTATTATAAGCAACTGTTCAAGCACTACCTCTTCAACTGTTAATCCCACCACAGGAGATTACTGTGGCAGGTTATATCAGCACTTCCCAGCTCCCTTCCTCTCACTGTCCAAAAGCTGTGTGAAGCTGTTTGTCTGTGCTGTATGTGACAAAATGCATTCTGGCTTGAATTTCTGTGTTTGCTGCTGCTATCTGTTTTTGAGAACGTTTGTTGTCAAGCATGAAATCTGAAGATGACACATGTTGTCTATCTTCTAATTTTGCAGAATGTCATGGTGTTTTTGCAGATTGCAGATTCTTTAAGTGAGCTGGAAGCCTTAATGGAAAGGATGAAGAGGCTACAAGAAGATAAAGAGGATGAAGAAGCCTCTCAGGAAGAAATGGCAACTCGCTTTGAAAAGGAGAAGAAGGAGAGTCTGCTAGTAATTAGTGGAGGTATTTGTGCTTTTCCATCTCTGTTCTGTTTGTGCTTTGTAAGAGCTAAACACTTGAAGCCAGTTCAGTGACTACAGTTTTCTCTGTCCATGTCTTCATTCTGTCCTTGTCTAGTAGGAGTCTAGTAAAGGTGGTCCTGTCACTTGCTTCATCTGCTTAAGATTTCTTGATTGCCACATAACACCACTCTTTTTGCTACTTGAAATCTAGCATTTGTATATTAACAAAAAAAAAAAGGCTTGCATGCTTCTCTAAAAAGCTGGGTGTAATTTTCTCTTTCTTTATATGCCCTGTATCTTCAAATCCATTCATTCATGTAGATATTCAGCAAATATTTCACAGGTTTAGGTTATACAGTGTTTAGAACTTTGCTGACACTCATAAGCAGCCTTCAGATACAACATTCAGTTCAGGAAATGGATTGGGAGGAGACTCAGCATCTTTACTATTTGTTGCCCACCTGGAAAGGACATTTCTGATTTGCCATTCTGAATGATGATACCACTGGGCTGTTCCACTGCCTGTTTTGTGGTAGAGATTCTTAACAGGTTTTTTATTCTTAAATGATGTTCAAAATTCTGAGCTCAAAGCTTCTTTTCTGGTATTCTTCATATGGTCTGAAGGCTTTCACCTCTAACACACCCTACAATTAAATCTGCTTCCTGTAGACAGGAAGGTGGGTTTGTTTTTCCAAAGAAAAGTGTTCTAAGAAAGAATATGGAAGACAATCAGAATCTCCAGCCATTTCCTCATAGTATAGGCTACTTGAAGATGACAGCTTGTGTTTTTCTAATAAGTGACCCATAAAATGCTTCACATTTTAATGACACTGTGAATTTAGATCTTGATAGCTTCAGACCAAATGTGTTTGAAGGTACCTAGTTTTGTGCACTGAGCCCAAAAAAGAGAGACTGTGTTGTGGATTGGCACAGAGATTGTGTTGTGGCTCTCAAAATCTCTGAAAGAAGATAAAGACAACAATGTCATGGCTGGATTTTAAGAAATGGACATTGTCTATTCTTGCTCTTTTTCTCTGGACAGACAATATCAACAGTGCAGATAAACAGACACCCATTCCAGTTTCATTATCAAATCAGGACTTTCCAAGAGTCTTTGCAACTTCAAGCGTATGCAGAAGAGGAGTCTGGGACAGAAGGGGCTTTTTGATAGGGTTGCTGATAGTTTTGTTGACTTTCCTCTTTGCCTTTTGCTGGTTTGAGTTAAGGAGTCTGGATGTGTTGGGCCTTCTTTTATGGAGGTCAGTCCTTGTCAGGGGAGAGGAGAGTTTATGTGCAAGGCTTTTATTCCTCACTGAGGATTTGCTGCAGCAGATGTTGTGCGAGCTTCCTCCTACGCAGTTATGTTTTGATTGTTTAATGAGGCAAAGAGGAGATAAAGCACTTCTGCAATTCTTAGATTAACTGACTTTTCAAGGTGCTAACAGTGGACATATGGCAACTGTTCTGTCAATGCATGTGGAAGCAAGCCAGGATTTTAACATCAGGGTCAAATGCAGTCAGCTATGCAGTAGTCAACTTCTGCAGAGGTAGTTACACAATCACGCCACCTGTTTATTTGGGAGGGAAAGATTGATTCACGATAGAGAACCTGCGCTTGCTTAGTGACATGGTTTGGAGCTCTTTGAAGATGCTTAGTTACTAAAGCTTCTGGCAGAATTTCAGCCTGATGTACTGTAGAGCTCTTTGCTTTCACATAATCTTCAACTGGTATTTACAAGTGGAGTGTTGCATTGCTTGCTGGTTGCTCATACTCCCGGTTATAGAACAGAGCTGGTGTAATTCCTGACACCATACCTGCTCAGCATAGCAATCCTGTTTTAAAGGGTACATTGTTCTGTTTCTTATGCCAGCATAGTGGCTTTACCAAAGGGATTCATCTTCCTGATTTAAGATACCTAGCCTCCCGCTGAAGTTAACACAGAGAAAAGCACACCTGCAGACAGAACTTAGCCCTCTCTTCCCCTTTTTTAAAAGTACATTAGATGATGGGTATAGGCTGACATTTAGTTGGCTCAATGAAAGGGATCCTATGCAAGCAGGTTGGGATTGAACTGTTTCTTTCCTTTGTACTGCTGTCTTCCTTTGCACAACTAAAATTGTTCTCTAGCCCTGTAGTAGGGTGGTAGTTGGAAGTCAGCACTAACTCTTGTGCTAGCCTAAAGCAAAGCATTTTGCTGTTTTATTCACAGCATTTGATGATGAAATAGTTTCTACAGATGTCTCCCGCTATATTGAAGATCCTGGATTTGGGTACAAAGACTTTGCAAGGCGAGGAGAAGATCATCTGCCAACATTCAGAGCTCAGGTGCTACATCTTTACAGTACATTCACTGAAACAATGTTTGTATATCTCATGACAGGGCAAGCAGCATAAAGTGGTTGTAGTGGGGCATGTTTGTTGCATGCTCCTTTTCTTGTTCTGGTCCATTAAACAACTTCCATAAGTCCACCTGAGATGAGCATTTTACTATTCAGTCAAGGGAATATTGAGCTTTCGGTCTTACTGCAATTATTACCGCAATTAATGTTTGAAAACCATAAAGCATATCACTAAATCTGGCAAAAAAGAAAAGAAACAATTTCTTTCCTGTCCCGTCAGATGGTGTATTAAAAAATCCACTGGAAGAACTCTTTATTCCTGCCATTTTATCAAGTATTCTCTGTCCAGTGGTTATCAATACCTAGATGTATATATAGGAGCAGTTTGGTGAATATCATTCTCATATATGATCCAAATCACTGGACTTTAAAGGTCAGGAAAGAAAAGGAATTCCTAAATACAATTACTGAAGTTTATGGCTATATTAGAATATATTTTTTTAGTGCTGTTAAAAAAAAAATACTCATTTTAACTGCACTTTTTCTTACATATTGGCATATTTTTCCATTATCAGACTCGTAAACTTCATAATATGTATAACAGGATCAACTTTCTAGGTGCTTCTGTTCCAGCTTATAAAGTAGATAAATCAGCAGTCTGGTAATAAATTGAAAGCAGTGGAAGAAATCTTAAATCAGAGCATTTCAATTAAAAATACAGCGGGTGCAGGAAAACTCCATGGTCAGAAGATGTATCTAAGAATGTAAAATGAAGAATCCATGATCACTCTCAGGAAATGTATTTAGCTATATAGCAGTCTTTGTTGATCTGGGTAATTTATTCTCTGGTCTTCATATGAGCCTGAAGTAGGTAGGTACTGCCAAAAAGAGTAAGGCAGAGTGAGCGCCTGTATATCAGACATTCTGCTTAACTACTTTAGGAGCATCAGGCTTCCATGGAAAAAAGCTCTGCAGAAGTTGAAATTGGATCTACAATGTCTCTGCTCTTAAATAAATGGGACAGCTTCTGCCTTCTTTCAGAGGAGTCACCTTGATAATTTAACTTTTATTAGTAAGTCCTACACTTAAGCAGTCAGATATATATACCCACAGCCTCCCAAAAGCTCTGCTTTTAATGTTGTTCAGATTGCAGTAGCATCCCAAAACCTTGCCATAGATCTAATCCCTATTCTGATAAAACAAGACTGCCTTTATCTGTGTGGGTTTAAATTTAGTAATAGAAAAAGGCATTCTATACACCGCAGAATGTCTTTAAACTGTTTTTTTTTCCCTTTTTCATTGTTAGTATGGATCAGCTGCTGTTAGTAAACAGCACTTTCCCCCTCATGGGGCTTCTGGCTTTCAGAGGCTTTTATGATGCCCCAGGTCTGCTGACACCTTTACAGGGCTGGTGGGTACAACATACGTCCGATAAGCCTTACAGTCTTTTGGATTGGCAGCTGGAGACCAAATATGATGTGACACGTTTCAGACATCACTGAATGCCTCTGTTAGGCAGTTGAGTACTGTCCTACCTACTCTTCCCCACTATCCTCATCAGAGGACCAGTCTCTAAAGCACCTGGGTGAGGACCCTTGCCTAACAGTAATATTTGAAACCAGCCAGACGCAGGAAGGATGTGGAGATGATGCCCTCAATTGTAAAGATAGCATCAGTTATTGAATGATTGAGCACTTGTCAAGGATGTGGGCAAACTAACATGTTCTGTGTAACCGCAACATGGAAAGTGGTTGCACACTGCTCTGAAACAGGGTCATTCTCCCTGCTGATGCTGGGCCATCACTCTGCAAAGATTTCCCATTCCTGATAAGAGCAGGCAAGCTTTCATCCTTGCAATCTGTGTGCTTGTCTAAGACCAAAGAGGCCTGGATTTTATTAGTTTGTTCAAGGATGGTTTAGCACTTTACTCAATGATTGTACATCCTGGCTGGAAGCAAATACTCTGTCTCTGCTCAGAGCTATCCATCAAAGCCTCCAAGAAGATCAAGTTTTTAAACTTACAGGCCCTCCAACATAGAATGGCACTGGTTGGAGTGGCACAGCAGACAGTGGAAAATTGCCTCAGCATTTCAGGAGAAGCTTGGGTTTTTAGTTCTGTAGGGTCATGGTACCCAGCTGAGGTGAGGTGTTGTGATTTGATATTCACTGCCAGGAAGCCTGGGGGAATGGAGCAGGTGATATGGATGAAGGATTCAAAATGCAAATCTTCTGAAGAGAATAAAGTTATAACTAGCAGACAACAAAACTATTGAGCTATAGAGAGGATCAGATAGGGATTTTGCTTGTACATTTATATATTTCCTTCTCTTTCTGCAGGATTATACTTGGGAAAATCATGGCTTTTCCCTTGTAAACAGGCTTTATTCTGATATTGGGCATCTCCTTGATGAGAAGTTTCGGATGGTATATAACCTCACGTATAACACTATGGCAACACATGAAGATGTTGATACAACTACGCTACGAAGAGCTTTATTTAACTATGTCCACTGTATGTATGGAATCAGGTATGGACAAAGATCCTGTGGCTGTAGGAGTGCGTTTTAAACTGTGTGAACAGAATGAAAACTGCATCATGTGAAAAGCATGATTTTAGACTCCAGGTGTTAAAAGTGGAGATAATACCTGAGTCTGGAAGTTAGAATGGTTTTGCTGGCATATCAGTGTAACTTCTACTTCCAGTGGAGGAAATTATTATGAATATGGATGGAAATTTGACAGAACTACCTTTCTGAAGCCAGCATGTATCCTTTGTTTAGGAAAGACAGCATCCTAGTACTAAGCCTTTGAGATCCTCTGTTAATGGGGGGGTTTGTAGTGTGTATGATAAACGCTCCAATTCCCAAACGTAAAAACATAATGCTGCAAAAGACCATGCTTTTAAAAACTTACGTCCAACAGACTGCTTGCCTGTGTTATTTAGGTATGATGACTATGATTATGGAGAAGTTAATCAGTTACTTGAACGCAGCCTGAAGGTTTACATAAAGACAGTGACCTGCTACCCAGAGAGAACTACCAAGCGCATGTACGATAGTTACTGGCGTCAGTTCAAGCACTCGGAGAAGGTACGGATTTCAAAGCCAAACTGGCTTTGTGGAAACCCCCATGCTCTTTAAGAATTAAAGTATGGTGACACCTTAGCGTACAGTATCTGACAAATAAGCTGGTTTTACCCAGAAAAAAACAAATGAGATGAATTCATTGAGTGTTAGATGTCAGTTTTACAGCAATACTTCTTAGTGTACTGGAAATGCCAATTCTATTATTTTGAGTGATCTCTACATAAAATTGAACTGACAGCTGTGAAAGAGAAGTGGATAAACTTGGGAATGCAGAAGCAGTCAACTATGCCAATACTTGGGATTTGGGGATCAAAAAGGACCTTAACTCATATATATGAGTTAATCCTCATGGTGTTTTTCATCAATAAATATGTCAACGTGCCTTCACGTATCCAAGTTAAATGCTTCCTGACAAGAGTCAGTGCCTGTGTGCCTGATAACCTATCTGTAATGTAAACCATTCCTTAGTCTGCGCTCCTATATAGCGATCACAGGTGGTAGTAAAGAAAGCAAAATAGAATTCATAGAGAACTAATGCCATTAGGAGACAAAAATGGTTTCATTGGGACTTCTGAGATGGAAGATTGCTTGAAGCAGCAGCTGGGGCTAGTTTCTTGCAGTCTTGTGATGTGATCTGGTATTGGCATACAGCACAGCTGTTTGAAGAGGAACTGGAGTCCTGCAGCAGGGTACAGACAGAAAGGACGTAGTTTCTTGCAGTGATACTTTACTAAAGTCTATACATTTTAGCCTGAACGAATAAATAACGATGCATTGAGAGGCGAACTAAATGGCTGGTTTAATTTCTAACAGGTTCATGTCAATCTGCTTCTAATGGAAGCTCGTATGCAAGCGGAACTTCTGTATGCCCTTCGTGCCATAACTCGTCACTTAACCTGAAGCATCCGCTGAGCAGGAGTAAAGGAGTTTTACTGAGTATGTAAAGACCTTTTGAAATAGATACACACCAGAAGCTGTTTGTGATGTAGCATCAGGTTATTCAATTCTCTAGTGTCAAAGTTTAGCCGTGCTTCTTGGCGGCTGTAATGTGCAATGACGTGTTTTATTTTTCTTGATGCTTAACATTACTAATGATAACAAAAGTAACACTGAGGAGCACTACTCTGCATTGTTTCCGGCTGGATTTCTGCGCAGTGGTCAGGATCCTGAAACTGGTTTTGTTATATCCAATCCTAGCGCTTTGTTCTTTAAGCACCGGAGTGAAGTGCTTAGAGACTTCTTTTTCCAAGCAATCATTTTTCAGATTAGTGGAGTCCAGCAGGAGATGGGTTCTGCCTGTCCTGAGAACACACCACCACATCGTGACTTGTGATGGAGACACACGGGCTGAGTTGCATTGAATTGCCCACTGGATTCTCCTGTGTCTCCTGGAGATGGCTTGCCAGTCACTGTCTTACTACAGCAATTGAAGGTGATGCGAGATGTGGATGCGAACATTGAGCACACTATAATGTGAAATGAATCATGATAAATCCTACAGCATGCTACTGAAGTGCAAAATTCATCTGCTTTGTCATGCCCCTTCCCAAGAGAAGAGGCCTCACGATTTCCCATTTCAGCCACACTTACTGTGTTTCAATCATGCATAACCTTGTTTTACTGACAGTCACCCTCAGTTGTCCTTACAATATCCATGTTCATCACATGCTGCAATTTGTTTAGTTGGCACCTATAAAGTTAATACACAGGCTGACCAAAAACAGGGTGGTGGGTTTTTTTGCACTCTCTTCTTTCTCAATGTTCTACCTAAGGAAAAGTAAAGGAAGGCTAGCATATCTGTTCTTTCATATTGGATGTGTAGAAATTTATTTCCCATAACTTTTTCATAGCATGAAATTTTAATACTTAAAGAAGTTTCTATGCATTAGTGTGAGTGAACAAAAGAAAAGTGCAATATTTAAAAAGAAAGCAAGCTTTTTTCCCTATCATGCCACTGCTAAAGTGTCCTTCTTACATAGCCATAAAGAAATTTTAAAACCAAATTTCTTTATTGTCTAAGGCCTAGCAGTTTTGTTTTAGCTTTTATGGCTTCAGACAACCTGATACTGAGATGCCAAAGCATCCCCAAAACAAAGCATTCTTGGACAACCAGTAATATTGGGGAAGGGAAGAAATAAGCTGCCAAAAATGTCACACACTTTTGTGCTGTTTTCTGTTGCTTTCAACTAATTTCTAAGAGCACAAAATGTTGATATTTATAGCTTTATTTTGTATTGCATTTAATGAACCAGTGAAGTGCCTAAAGAGATGCTTAAACTTACCCAGTAGGATGCAAGTTGTCACCGCTTCAGCTTCCGTCTGTTGGTTTGGGCTTTTCATATTTCTTTGAGGAGGGTGACCTTTATTTCTGCTGCATACATTCAAAACTAACTGGATAGGTTTATTTTTAATGTGCCATTGGACTGTACAAGTTAATACCGGATTTTTTTCATCGGTGATTGCAGAATAGTTTAAAAACCTACTGTTCATATTCTAACCTTTTCATTGACAAAATCATGGACCAGAATGCTCCTAAAGTCAGTTCTCTCTTTTCTTCCCTTTTCCTGAACCTTGCTGTGACTCCACATGTTGGTTTTCTCGCTTTATCTGTCTGTTCCAGATTGGAAAGCTAAATGATTGTACACTTTCCTGCACTTTCAGACTGCAGACTCTGCATGTGAAAACCTTTTGAGGAAGAAATCAGTAATTATGTTTTTTTTTGATGTGACGTTGGCTGTTTAGCAAACTACCCAATAGAGAGCATCAGAGAGAGCGTTGGGTAAAACATCACATTTATTTATCTTGCATAGCTAACTGCAAAGATTTCTCACAAGTACTGAGATGCTCATATATATGAACTTAGGTTAACTTCCTAAGTTGTTATGATCCTTTTTGCTCCCTCCTCTGAGTGTAGTGGCCATACCTAATGGCTTTTGTGCATAAAACAGTTCTGCTGAGAGAAGTTTTCATGCAATACTTTTAGTTTTCCTCAAGTGATGGGAACTGTACAGTACTACTTTAAATCCCTTTGCTTTGAGAAGTCAAGTAGTTCTCAAGAAGCACAGTTGAGCTCTGGAAAGGACGTGAAACTTGGTTTGGTTAACTAATATGATGGCTTAGTTTCCCTTCAGAAAAGCAAAGACTCTTAGAGTAGATTGAATTTTACATTTGGAAACATGAGTGCCTTTACTTCTTTCCTTATGATACATACTTGCCAGCTCAAATGCCTTCTGAGCAAAGTACATGAGCAGATTTGAAATACAGAAGCCATCAATGGATTGCTTCATGAAATTTATAGTAAACCAGTGATTTCTTCTTTCTTTAAGGTGCCATATCACGTCGTATATGGCCTGCAAGACATTCCGCTATAGGAAATGTCATTGTGCAACTAGTTTGCTATTTCTCTCTCTTTCTTTTTAACATTAAATGCAAACTTGAAACGTCTGGAAATGTTTTCCACGTGGCTTTTTTTTTCCCCCAAGTATTGCATTTACAGTGTAACAATTTATAGCCTAGTTTTTATACTCAGATTTATGATTTTGAGTAGGTGTTTGTTCAGAATAGGTGTTTAAAGTCAGACAACTCTGCCATACACTTTATGCACGCTTTAGGCTCACACTGTGCCAAATTTCAATGTGCAAGTGTTCTTGGATGTTTCTGCATTTTGAAAGCACTCGTGAATGTGAATCTTTACACTTTGTTTATCAATATTATCCTTATGGGTACCGTAATCATTGCAAATGTAGATACTCGCCCTCCATGTTCCTTTATTGGAATTGGTATTTACCAGCATTAATGTTAGTCCACAAAATGCCAGCCAGGACCAACATCAAAACAAGTGTACAGTCTCCTGTCTACAGAAGAGAAAGCTTGGTAGGCACAAATTAACCAGCTACACAGGGAATGCTCTTAAGTAGGGAACAGAGGTTTTGAGCATGGACAGCTTCTTATTATTGCAGAATCACTTCAAACTCTGTGCTGGGACAGATACATTCTTGCTGAAATTGCTCCGTTTTTTTGCTAATGAAGAGAAATGGAAAAGATGCTGATTGGAGAAAGCATTTGCATTTCCCAGAACACTCCACCTGCAGCTGAACATCACAAGTGTGGCATCAGACAGGAATAGAAACCATTTTAAACTAGGGAACAGTTTGTGCAGATAGCCACTAAAGCCAGCGTTGTGGTACCCTGAGAGAATTTTGGTGAGCTGTAGATGGATTTATTTTCATCAAGACTAAACTGAAACATAAATTCTTTGTCTTAAAGCCTTCATTGCAATGAAAAGGATGTACTTTCAGTTGTAAGAATTAAAGAATTGCCCCTCTCAGCTCTTCCTAGGTATTAAAAAAACCTTAAGGACAGGAAAATCAGTGGTTATAAACAATTACAAGTCTCTATAAATATAGAACAGATCAGAACAGAACAAAAAGGAAAACATTTTGCTTCTCTGTTACTTGAGTGCACAAAGTCAAAGCTCCAGATTCCTCTAAGTATTTTTGTTCGTAGTGATACTCAGAGATATTTTCATGGGATGTGGAAAAAGCAGGAGTTGCCTAAATTTCAATGGGAATTTAAGCACTTAGCAAAATTCTACAAGGTGCCCACTTGCATTTTTGAGTCAGGTTTTTAAAGATACTTAGTCACCTAAATCCAACAGCATAAAATCAGTTTCCATAGAGATTAAAGGAATAATGTGTAGCAGACCCACGTGATTCACAGTGATTGTTAATGAAATGGGTTGTTTTGGGGACTTAATATAGGCTTAGAGAAATCTTTCCCAAAGCAGTTAGACTGTAAGCTGCTGCTCTTGCAGAACAGGTTCTCAATGTTTCTCATGCATGTGTGTTTTCCATGAACATAGGCATGCATTTCAGGCTCATGTTCCACAGTTCGGACTCCCTTTTAGAAGAGCTGGATTGGATTTAGAAGAGTTATTGGTGGTAGCAAGTGGATACTTGGTAGCTTGTACCCAGACTAAAAAGTTTGGGGTAAAAAGAAATACTCCAAATCTTGATTTCAAGTGTTCAGTTAATTTCCTTAGAGGTTTGGATCCTTCTCCCGTAAATAAGGGGTGATGTTGCACAAAATAAAGGGAGAAAGGAGTGGATTCATTGTAAGTGAACCTTCCCAGAGCCAATCTGAATATAAAGCTGTAAGAGTTGGTTTGCTGTAAGCGATCATTCCAAGAGCTGGACAGAAGTGTCAATTTTCACTATATGAACTCCAGATTTATTCTCCCTCATGTCCCCCAGCACTGTGTTTGTCAGAAGAGGTGCACCCACCAGCTTTTCCACATTTGGGAACTGAGAATGTTTATCTCCAAATGAAACTGAATTTAGCTTTTCATCCTTACTGCATAGATCACAGGTATGGGAGATGGAGAGAGCACAGTAGCATGAGGAAACTTTAGGAGCATCTTGATCAGTGTTAATGCATCCCTTAGAGCATGTTTCCTGGCATGTGGTCATGCTGCTGCTCCCACAACTTGCGTCAGCTCTCTTTTGCAGACATTTAATCCTTCTGCTGCTCAAAAGGGGCAAAAGTTGTCATTTTCCAACCTGGCATCCTGCATCAAGTGCTTCCTTTCTTCCCAGCTCACAACCCCTCGCAATCATGCAGGGGCAGCCTCCGAGCCTTAGCCTTGTAAAACAATGCTAGGTTCCTCTATTGCCATTTGAGTTCAGAGGGACTTGCGCATGTTCAGAAACACTCAATTGTTGTATTAGGTTATTTCTGGACAGGAAAATTCCAAATCTGGTTCAAAAGGATGACAGTCAGTACTTGCTTACAGCATCTAGGTAGCATTTGCCAGTAGCATGTTAGGTCCCATCTCTGGAGTTACAGTGATAATCCAGTGAATCCAGTAAGGAATGCTTTCTTTGGCAAGACTCCCCATGCTTGAGCTGTTCAGCCATGCAGGTTTCTTTGGGGGACATATAATGGGGGATATGAGGTCCTCTTGTGACAGGCAGCTTCTTGGGTGCCCTGCAGCCAGCCTCCGGAACAAGTGGATTTGGGTTTTTCACTTACCTATGGGATAAATCCAGATGCACTCCATGGAGTGGCTGCTGGAGACATAGGCAGGGTTGGGTGTTCCTACAGGTACTGAGTATCACCAGGGCTGGTGGAAAATAGAAACCTGAGTTCTGCTTTTGTTCTTGACAGTAGTTAGAGGTGGTATTGAAGACGCCAGTTAATACACTGGTGGTGAGCGAGCCATGCTGTCAGCATCAGAAAGTAGAGACCACAGGCACCCATGAGGGGACACAACCAGTGCAGGAGGAGCTGACACGTTGGCCAGTTGGAGAAACTTGACCAGTGTGTCTGAGAGATTCCTGAGCTTCTCTCTGCTTAGAGACGGTGGGAGATGCCTCATTCCGAGGTGTCCAAAGGGCTTCTGTAGGACAAGAGCTGGGGCCCTTTCCTTGCTCCACAGATGGAGCAGGGGAAGGGAACCGTTCGCTTCTGCCCAAGAAAAACGTGCTGCTGTTGAACTGCATCTTCTTGCCCCCACCAGATGGGTGAACCCCCAAGCGTTGTGTCTCCAGCTCAGGGCCCTGGGGGGCAGCAGCAGCAGCAGGTCCAAGCACCCACAGTCCAGAACTCTTCCTCATTGCCCATTTCACACTCATGTCGTGCCACCAGACCCAAGCCTCCTCCCTCCAGCCCAGCCGCCGCATGCCCAGGTGGCTGCAGGAGATACTGGCTTTTAGGGGGAAAACAATCCCAATTAGGCTACAGCCCTTGGACTCGACAAGGCAACGCAGTCAGGAATCCTTTCACGACTGTGACCTGGAACTGGATATAAACTGTAGCTTATAAAAGAAACAGGAACTTTGTAAACTTGAAATCTCTCGGTTTTACCCTTTTCTCCTTTTGCTGGAAAGCCACACGATGAATGTATATGCTTTTCTCTTTCTATATCCAACCTAACTGAGAATCAGACTGCCAACACCTTGTTTTGTATTAGCCTTTTTTCCTTTTTTTTTTTTAGAGAAAAACAACAAAAAAAAAAGAGTTTGTGAGCAATATATGTAGCATGCTGTGAACGTCTGTTTTGATCCTTATAGTTACTCTTTAATCCATCAGTATTAACACCAGTTCTTTTTCGTGTTCCCCTTGGTACTTTGTATGCGGTGTAAGCAGAAGCTGTGATCGGCTTTGCAGTCCTGTGCCGTGTTACTGTAACTCCTTGATTCTTTAGGAAGCACCTGACTGTGGGCCACCCTGGCGCAGGCAGCGTGCCCAGACACGACTGCCACCCTTCAAGTCTCTTGTACTATGTATAGTTTTAAGTAGAATAAGCTTTTTAACAGAATATTGATGCGGTTTTTGAGTCACGCAGGCTGCAAGTGTCTGGTGTGTGAGAGTCTTTGTATTTATAGTTGTTGGGGTTTGGTTTATTTCTCGTTTTGTTGATGTTTTTTGAATTCATAAAGTAGCAAACTTGATAAACATAGCCACTTTAAACTGCTCTTGCTAAACAGACCCTGCTGTAGATAAAATACCACTGTAGATACAGGGAGGTGCTCCAGCAGACCCTGGGTGAGCAGAGCCGCTCTTTGCAAAAAGCATGGTCCGAGCTGCGTGGCCGCCCTGTGTTTGAACACATTTGGACCCAAACGTGGGGCAGGCTGAGATCTGGGAGTGTTTCATCCCCTGTGCCCATAATCCCACCACTGGCATGGTCTGCTCACTGTGCCTGAGGGGCACATGAGCCTTGCTGGTGTCTGGAGGGATGGACGGACCAGCCGCCGCTCCGAAAACATGGGCATGGCCTTTCTGCAGCCCGAAAGCTTCCGAGCCTCTCTGAGTGCAAGCGTTAGCCCTCATGTGCTGTATGCAGAGCCCGGCATGGTGTGATAAGGAGCGGCATCAGCTCCCCATGGGCAGCTGTGGGTCGGAGGGGCTGTGGCAAGGCAGTGCCCAGGGGTTGGCATTTCATTGCATCTCCCCCCTCTGACATGGGATAAGTTGTACCCAGCTTCTTGCCTCCTCTGCCACGGCCCCAGAGGTGTTCCAGGATGGAGGATTAAGGACAAAGCTCTGGTCCTGCTGCTCCATCCCACCCCCTGGAAGCGAGGTGGCTCCATGGGTACCACGGTCCCCCCAGCATCCCGCAGGCCTCCCGTCCTGCCTGCCCTGAGCTCCGGAGACACGCTGCAGACCCCATACTGTCCTAGAGGGTTTACTGCAAGGTGAGGCAGCTGCTAGGAGCTCCCTGCGGGTTCTCCACAGCAGCTTTTACCAGTTACTTGTTCTGTTATTGCTGGTTGGGGTTTTCTTTGTTGGATTCCTTTCTGTTCCCAGAGAACGGGCTGACCTGGCGGGATGGATTTTCTCTTTGTGTGTGACTTGTGTTAGTTTTTAAGTTACCCGACTTGAATTTATCTGAAAGATGCAGAAGGAACTCTTTTTTTTTTTTTTTAATTTTTTCTTTTTTTTTTTGGTGAGTTAAGAGACAAAAAAAATGCATTTTTAAACAAAGGAATCGTGTATTAACATTTTAACAGCAATTCATAAATCTGCACTTTTTATGAGGTTTTGAAAAATCTATTTATAGGTACGGAACAATGGGGTTTGTTTAAAACTGTATCGCATTTATACTTGCTGAAATTACTTTCATTGTTATCAGTAGGAATTTCATTGGTTAAATAAAATGGATAAAACCTGTCTGCTCTTGGAGCTGTCATTTGGCACGCGCTGGGGAGCACATCTCCAGAGCACAACATCCTGTGGTTTGGGGGGAGATCCAGTCCTGGAAGCGTCCTTCCCCTCCATGCCCTTGTCCTGTATAGATTGTTTGACCTATTTATAGATAGGTAATAGATAGTAATTCTATTTAATCTGTGTGAACATAGGTCCTGGAAAATGGATAGCGCTTGCCTAAGGGCATCACCAGTTAGTGATGAGGAATGGGGTGATGGGCATCACAATGTTCACTCTTGATACGGGGCTAGTCACCTTCCCCTTGGAAATCTGATCTGGGCAGGCCATTCATGATGGGATGGACCAGGAGCTGCTCCCACTTCCAGGGGTGAGAGCCCTAAAACCATGCGAAGGAGAGCAGAAGTGTGTGCTGAGGGTGCTGGCTTGGGGCAGTGCCAAGCTGATCTTGAAGCCAAAGTACCCGTAAGCACCTGCAGTTCTGCCCTCTGCCCCATCCTGCCCCAGGGAAGGTGGCAAAGGGCTGGGGATGGCCAAGGAGGTTGTCCTGGGAGAGTTGCTCATCTCCCTTCCAAAGAGACAAAAGTAGCTTACACAAGCCACAGACCTGGGGTGTTTGGGTGTGTTATAGAACCCCAGACTGGTTTGGGTTGGAAGGGACCTTAAAACTCACCCAGTTCCAGCCCCCTGCCACGGGCAGGGACACCTTCCACTAGAGCAGGGTGCTCCAAGCCCCTGTGTCCAACCTGGCCTTCAACACTGCCAGGGATGGGGCAGCCACAGCTTCTCTGGGCAACCTGTGCCAGTGCCTCAGCACCCTCACAGGGAAAAATTTCTGCTTAAGACCTAAGCTCAGTCTCCCCTCTGTCAGTTTAAAGCCATTCCCCTTGTCCTGTCACTGCAGGCCCTTGTAAAAAGTCCCTCCCTGGCACCAAATGTGACCTCAGGTGAGCCCAGCCCTGAATTTGGTCCCTGCACCTTCCCCTACTGCATGGTCTGAGTGCTCAATGGGGGACCAGCACGAGTGGGGGGCAGCTGCACTCCCCAGGGACCTTGGGTTTACCATACACCATCCTCCCCTCCCTACCTGGTTCCCAGAATGCCAAACGCACTGTGTGTGTGTTGGTAACTCCAGCCATTGTCCTCAGGGCTCTCCAGCTCTGCTGCCTCTGGCTCTGTTCGAAACCCAGCCCAGTGCCAAAGGAACACAGAACCCAAAGGGCAGTGGCAGACCAGGGACCGTGTCACAGGGATGCTCCTGTGCCCACCTGGCTGCGGGACCCCCCTGCGTCCCATAGGTGATCCCCATGGGATCTGGGAAAAGCCCATGCCCAGGTTGAGGGTGTGCAGGCCAGCACTGCAGCATGTCCCTGGGGAAACCTGGCTGGGCGGACCCTGGTGTGCTCCATGGCCAGCATCACCCGAGAGCGTGGCCATCCCCAGCCTCCTGGATGCAGGAGCTCCAGCAGGGTGGCTGCAGCAGTGATTGCTACCACAAGGGCAGCCCGGGTACCCAGCCATGGCTCGAGCAAGCCTCACCTGTAAGGTTGGATTTCAGCTTGTGCTGGGGTCTCCTTGGCCTCTCCCCTGCACCCCCTCAGGCCATGGCACTGGGAAGAAGCAGAGACAAGCCCTAGACCCCATAGAGGGCCACGAGCAAATCCTCCTTACCAAGCGTTTGCATTAATGGCTGCTGAAGTGCACCCAGCAGCAAGAGGCTTGGTTTCAACTCCCTGTGCTGCATCAGCCCAATGACAGACCATATGGGAGCATCCAAACTGTCCCCAGTAGCTTTTAATTGGACCATGACAGAGCAATCCGATGGGACCCGTGGACAGCACAGCAGAGGCTCTGAAGATCCAGTCTATAGATGTTATAAATAGCATCATGCTAATGGGTTCGTGTAAATACCATCCATTTTTTGCAGGCATTTCGGTGTGTAGGAAGATAATCACTGGATTTGTGTTTCCTGCTGAAGTAACCCCTCCTCCGCATCGCGCAGGGCTGGGAGGTGATGCTGCCTGAGCACACGCCTTTACTCAAGGTTGCTGAATCCCCTTGCTAATCCCTCCTGGGCAACCATGGGGGAGATGAGGAGACTCCAGCAGAGGGTGACAGCCACCCAGAGCCGTGCCCTGGGGAAGCCTGACCCACCTCCACCATGCACATCAGGGCAAACATGGCTGGAGTGCAGCGTGCTGCTTGCAGGGCATTAAACTGCAGCTGCCAGCTGCAGTACAGCACAGTGATACGGGAAAGATCAGCTGAAAACGTTTCTATGAGATTAAAGCCAACCCCGAGGGGATTTTTCCTTTCAGCTTTTCCTGCTGGAAGAGGAAAACAAAGTAAGAAAATGCCATTTTTGCAGAAAAAAACAAACCCAGGAGCAGAAGTGGCTCAGCTGAGGCATCATTACCAGCTCTATTTGTAGACCTGAGTGCAAATCACCCCCATCACAGTGGCCCAGAACCTCAGCGCTGTGTCCCAGCAGTGCCAGCAGGAATGTGCTTGATGCTGAGCACCTGCATCTGCTCATGGCTGGGGATGTGATGGAGAAAGAGTGGGACTGGAATAGCCTCATGATAGGCATGAAGGACAGGTACCAGGTTCCCAAACCTCCCTCTGACTGGGCCTGCGGGTATGATTTGTGGCATGTGGGGATGGACAAAACCATCCTCCATCCGTGGAGCCTGAGTGCCTGGTCCCTAGTCCTTAATGCCACCGAGCACTGGAGTTGTCACCCTTTCTCCTGGTGGGATGGTGAGCCTCAGGGATCACCTGCACCTCTCTGCATCAGCCCCTGGTATCATTGCCACCTGCATGGATGGACTTGGTGATCCAAGAGCTTTCCAAATGGCTGTGGGAAAGACCCCACCTGTACATTCACCTGTGTGGGACAAGCACCCTCATCCACCAGCCCCAGTTAAGCTCCATTGGCCCCAGCTTTAGGCATCCAGCTGAGGTGCCCGAGTGAAAGGCATGTGAGATATTTATACTGGATGGAGGGAGTCCAGCGCTGCAGAGAAGGGATTTCACATGCCTATGGTTGGGGAGCATAAATCCAGATAGCGAAGTCCCCCTGGGTCTATTGTATCATCCCTCTGGAGCTGCTCCACTTGTCTCAGCAGCTTGTTGGTGTCAGGACCATGCAGAGACCACTTCTCAGCCTCCCTGTTCACCATTTACCTACAGGCCACTTGATTTCATAGAATCACAGAATGGATTGGCTTGAAAGGACCTTTGAAGATCATCCAGTTCCAACCCCCTGCAATGAGCAGGGACACCTTCAACTAGATCTGATTGCTCAGAGCCCGTCCAGCCTGGCCTTGGATGTTTCATGGGATGGGGCATCCACCACCTCCCTGGGCAGCCTGTGCCAGTGCCTCACCGCCCTCATTGTAAGAAACCTCTTCCTTACATCAAGTCTGAAACACCCTGTCCATCTGCTGCTCTTCTCCCCCCAGTGATGAGCTCCCATTGTTCCTCTCCTGCCCATCACCATCATCCTGCATCCCTGCTGCAGCTCCTGGCTTTGGTCCATAACCATCTCCTACCAGCAGACACTGGGAGGCTTGGCAGGACCCTCAGTATCACAGCAGTAACCACACAGTGACATCTGCTCCAAATGTCCATTCTCCTCCATGTTAAATTGGTTTAAAACATCGAGTTATTAATAAAGATGAGAAACTTGAAGCCACTGCTTCAGCTTAGTGGCTTCAACAGCTTTGCTGCTGGCTCAGTGGAAAACGGCTTTCTGCCTCCCAGGAAATGGTCACAGATCCAGTAGTTCTGGGAAGGAAACAGTTTATTTTCACCCTTACAAATGGGGCAAAATGAGACATATGGTAAGATGGGCCGTGGCTGTGAGAGCGCTCCTCTGGGATGGATACAGCCACTTTCACATGCCAGGCCGGCTTCAGGCAGGAGAGGGTGCTGGATATCCATGTCCAAACCTCTAACCCAGCCCCTGGGCTGCTCTTGGATGATTCTCTCCTTGCTCCAGGCTGGACCTGGAAAACCTTTTCCACTGGAAACAGCAGATTGCCACAGAAGGAGCCCTGTTTGATAAATCACCCTGTTCTGACGGGATAGATTTCCTTGGGGGAATTCCAGCCAGCTGTAACACTAGCATCGCTGGGAAGCCTGCAGCCTTTCTGCTTGGCTGGAAACAACAGCTCTGTGGAAATCAATGGCAGATGTTACCCAGTGTGAGATACATCTCCAAATCAACATAAATCCAACAGTGTGGGAGGCTGTGCAGTGAAGAGGAATGGTCCTATGCTGAACCCCACCTAGACACAGCTCACCAGGCCTCCTGGCCAGGCTGGATTATGATTTGTTGGATAAATCACACTGCTGTTTACCTTCCAGTACCTTTTCCATTTACTGGCACTGACTAAGCTGGAGAGATAACCTATGGCCAAGCATGGCTCCGGTCCCTGCCCTGCTGGAGCAGCTCCCTGGCTGGTAGGAGGCACGGAGCTGGTGATGGAGGTGAGCAGCTCCAAAGCCTGCAATGGGAGAAGAGCGGTGACCCAGAGGACCTGAGCCCAGGGCTGTGACCAAGGGGCCATGCTGCTGGGGTTGCTGTTATTGGTGCTCAGCCCAAGGGTGAATACAGCAGAAATAAGGGACACCTCGAGGTGCACACAGACCCCGGTGTCAAGTGTCTGGTGACCAGGTTGCTCAGAGCCCCATCCAACGTGATCTTAATCACTGCCGTGATGGGACATCCACAGCTTCTCTGGGCAACCTGTGCCAGTGCCCCGCCAGCTCCTGCAGACCTCAGAGGGACACTGGAACCAAAGAGAGGTGCCTGCAAAATGCAGATGCCAACATCTGGTTTACTCATCCCAGGACCCCTATGCTGTCACTGGAGGAATGTGGCCACGTTTAGGGAGCGCCTGCTCTCCCTCTAAAGAAGTTGTGCTAAGACCAGCCAAGGGAAGAGCATCACAAGAGGGAGTTTGTCCCTGTCAGCTGCGAGCAATCATCCTGTTGGGATG